TTTGGCTTCATGTGCCACTGAGTAGCATTAATAGGAATGAACGGCTGCCTCCCACGCTGTATCCAGTTCTCTTGATACATACATGTGGAGGACAACCTGCAGCATCTGTAGGTAAAAACAGCTCATTCTAAGGTAATGAAAACATGATTTCTATATTCAGGTGATTATACACTAATGAAAACATACTTATGAATATTATATTCCATATTTCATATAATCCATCACTGGACTCCATGTTGGCTGACTTACCTGTCCCATCACCAAGGAAATCATTACAGAGTCACAGACTCATTCATTCTACAGCTGTATTCCTATGGGAACGTAGGTAAAAATCTCAACCTTAGGCAGGGACCATGTTGTGCAATTAAACACCAATCTTCTGATTGCTTTTCTTACTGATTCTTATGGAGAGATTAAATTATATTAAGATTAAGTTATTTTATGTTGTAATCAGTGTAAGACTGAATACAGTACATAGTTATTTCAGACATTTAGTATAAGTGATTGCACTTAATTTAATGAGAAGCAGGACAGGGGCAGTCAATGATCTAGGTGCATTGCCTCGCCAGTTTATTTTTAATTTTTTTTTACTGAGCTTGCTGTGAGTTCTCAACCTTGTTTTATTTAAGTTAAGGTTATAGTCAACCAAGCAATCATTTTAACAATTCTAACAACATCTGACCAAAAACATAAAATGCAGTAATGAATTGACTAAACTGTGCTTCTTTTCCTCTTACCATTTTTGAATTTTGCATCTAATTACAACACATGGCAGACAATGGTGCAGGCCATGAGAGCATAACTGAATAATATCTAAGAATAACCCAACCCGATGAAGTTTCAGGCCACAAAACAACCTGAGCCCGACATGAAGGAAATCAGAAACCAATATAAATATTAGGTTTTGGGTAGCTGAACTTTAGCGTCCTTTTGATTCTCGCCGTCGTTTTACAACTGCAGCATAGTGTATCAAATTTTTAATTAATTGTATTCCCAAGTCTCTCTTTCTTTTCAACTGGAACTGCTACCCTACTTGCAGCAGATCTTATGCTGTCAATGAATACTACAATCAACCGAACAGAGCCTTCATTTATTTCCCTCGTCATCAGCACCCTCTTGAATGGCACTCACTCTGTCAATTATTATGCCCTCTGTCAGTAATAGGAGAAAGATGTTAATGATTTATTCATTCATTTTTCTTGAGGTCAGAGGTCAGACTCCATCACAGAGCGACATGGAGCAATTCAGTGTCCTCCTGAAGGACACTGTATTCAATGAGGAAAGTGGGAGTGGGGATGGATAATTAGAAATGACATGTGAACATCAGGAAGGTTAGCAAGTAAAATGAAAGATCATATGAACTCTGAGCAGTACGTCTTGTTCTCCTGTCTACCCTGATCAACCAAAACTGTAGTGTTGTAGCCGAGAAAGTCCTCATGGCCCAGTTTTCTTATTCTTCCTATTCTTCTCATTCTTCCAGAGCTTTACCATTAACCCGATTCAGTTGTGAGCTCCTCTAGTCACTGTTAAATCATGGTGCTGCATACTCTTCCAAAACCTTTACAGTGGCTGTACACTTGCTTTGAACTAAATGATTTCATGTGCATTATTGCTGTTCCTTTTTAGTTGTGGTTGTGAATGTCCTTTGATATTACCACTAGCCGTTATTTAAGCCTATGAGCAATAGGGTCATTGTATCTGGATGTGAAGTAAGGTCAAACAGGAAAAAACAACAATAGCAGAAAATCTTCAGTTGCTCAATATTATTGTATTCACGTCAACCAGAGAAGATCTGCACTTAGTGGATGTTTTAAAATCAAAATACAGTGCACATGTGAACAATATTGTTGGCAAAACATATACCATGAACCTTAAAATATTCTATTCATACTCTTCTATACTCTACAACCCAGGTTCAAATCACAGTTTTATGCATGCTTGGCTGACATCTTCAGGTGGATTCTCTCCTATAATCTATCCCCTAATACCTCAACATTCAACACTGACAAAACCAAAGTGGCATCTGGCAAAAATCTAGTCTTTGATAACCATCTGTCCAAGAAGGTCTGCATTATAACCACTACCCAATCCTGCAACACACTGTATTTTATAGACTTTTCAAATGAGACGCTGGATCAGCATGTGGTCTTGCAGCTACTGGTCCAGGCTCTTGCCAGCTATGCTTGACTAATGTAATATCCCAGAGGCTTTCAAAGTGGGAGGCGGGCTTCCCTAGGGGGGCTCCAAACTGTTTCAGGGAAGGCTCAGTGAATTGAAGGGAAAAAATATTACATTAGTTATCAAAAGGAGATCACATGGAATACCCTAAATGTATGTGATGTAGGGTTTTGGGTAATTTGACTGTTTTTCCCAGAGTCGGAAACTAATAAATGCTGCAGGACTGACCTTTTTCATGTATTTGGTCTAAACAAAAATATTAGGATATCTTGGCAGTGGGATCAAATAACCCAGGGGAGGCCTACAGTCTCAGACTTTGAAAACCTCTGTAATATCATGTTTGCTGTCTTCCCTGCATCCACTCTGAAACATTTGAAGCTCATGGCAATTAATCAAAAACTCCTCCATACATCCAGTCAATGATTCATTCCTAAACCCCAGCCTGTAGTCAGTAATCAGCCTTTCTTTCCAGCCAGGTCATCACTCTGATCCTAACTACATTCATGGTGTTCTAGTACTTACATGATTTACTCTCATCACTCAGAGCTGCACATTCCCTCCAGAAAGCAGTTTAAATAACCAATCTCCTTAGCTTTTAGCCCTCTATTCAACTCTGACCCTTTAACTGAAACAGGGTTTCCATTTTGCTCCACCCTCCTCAAGCTTGAGTTAATCTTAAACCTGAGTTGTACTAATCTAGCTGCCCCCATCTCATGATTCATTCTGATTTTACATAACAAAATCTGATAAATGCATATACTTTAAATCTTTAATGTAAGTAGTATACATGTTAAAGGGGCTGCCTGTTACATTAACACCAATAATTATATTTCCACTTACTAACAAAAAATCTATCAAACAAATAACACTCTCACTTGAGCAATATTGATTATTTTTTTGAAAATATTTTTTAAGGGGACACCTGCCCCTATGTACGACGGAGTATTAGGGCCAGACTAAGAGAAAAAAATAATTAAATTTTTTTTGGGAAATTACGATAATAAAGTCATAATATTGCGAGAATAAAGTCGTAACATTACGAGAATAAAGTCATAATATTACGAGAATAAAGTCATAATATTAGGTCTACGAGAATAAAGTTGTAATATTACGAGAATAAAGTCGTAATATTAGGAGAATAAAGTCGTAACATTACGAAAAAAAAGTAGTAATTTTATGAGAACTGTCAGCCTGTTGGCTCAGCCAGCAAAACTGTTTAACAACGAAATTATCAATACGTTAGCTTACCTGTTGACTGTACGGTACGACTGAGACAAACAGCGGCTGCTG